AACCCGTGTCCCCTGCATCGGCAGGCGGACTCTCAACCACTGCGCCACCAGGGAAGCCCGATACCAGGGCTTTTGATTGGCTCATAACCATGAGAACAGCTACAACCAAAACACAGACCTATGGAGATTTCCATAATAGGATTTCTCATATGATGAGTATCTCATAAATCTTTATTATGGAGCCTGTGATGACGTTAATTTAGGTAGGAGTATTATGTTATTCCATGTACCACATAGTAGCCATTTTTCTTCAGATGATAAATTTCTAGTCCAAAAGTCATTTCAGAAAACGAGCCACTCTTCAGAACAAATGGACAGGGTTCTTCCAGCTGGTTGTTGTTTTTTTTCCTTCTTCCCTTACCCAGTATTTTCTCTAGCAGAGATCAAAGTAACTTCTTCTTGGCCTCCCATTTTTATTTAATTTTCTTGAAAGGAATTCATACTCCTTGCTTACAAAGCGTAGCTGGCTTGAACTGAAAGATCCACTCCTCAGGAAGAATGATTGCCACAGGACTCCTAGCCTTCACAAAATTTTGAAATAGGAACAAAACTGGAGCTGGAATGGTCCCATATCTTCATGTAAGATTCCCTTTTGTAATGGGAGAAAAATCATCTCATATTTGTTTTGACTATGTATGGGAAAGCCTATTTAAAATGCTGCCAATTTTGACAGACTGCACTGTGTACATTTTCTGACCGGGAAGAAAAGCCCTAGGAGAGCCTGAGCCACGGTGACACTAGAGGGAGCTGCAACATCAAGATCCTGGAGTCGTTTGCAAGGAGACTGCAGCAAGAGAACAAAACCAGGCTGGTGGAGGTTGAATCTTGTAAAATATGCCATAGGTCCTCTTTGTGGACAAGTTCTCGGTTCTATGAAGGTGGCAATGCCTAATTCATGAAAAGGGAACACTTCGTGTGAGGAGCACAAGCACGAAGGGATGCCCATCCTGGGCACAGGGACTCTTGCCTCTCTGCCCACTCACAAGGCACACCTTCTGGAGCTACCTGTCCAGAGGAAGCCAGAAGAACATCAAAAGGGACAGTCAGCCAGCTGGTAGCTCCACGCCCACCAATGTGGACAATACATTGTCACAAAAACAGAGGTTTGGGGGAAACTGAGTGCTTGTCTGAGTTAATAAAGATGAGTGAGAACAGAGAAGGGGAAGGAGAAATATTGATTTCTATCAGTTGTGCATTCAAACAAGTATCTGACAGCTCCTTAAGCTTCCTATCTGTGGAGCACAGCATCCTGAAGCAATCTGGCCAGAGCCCCTAAATACAGTGGGGTGGGGGACTCCTTAACCACTGTTAAATCATCTGTTGGAAAATGGGGAAGAAAATGCTTCCAGAATCAGAGCCAAATTAATCTCTCCTGAGACCTTCTTAGACCCAGGTCAAAATATACAACACTTAACACAAGCCTGATCTTAGTGGGGGAAACAGAGCTGACAACGGATCCTCACACACAACCTGAGAAGTTTAATTCCAAACATTCATTTCAGCGCAGGAGCTCATTTTCTGTGTTGCTCATGGTAACTACTCTGCATATCTTTGAGGCAAATTT